TTTTTGAGTTTCAGACTTTTGACCCTGATGTGGCGTGGGCGTTTACTGGATGAGGAAGCATCAACAGGGCCGTGATGATGGAGCTGTGGACAATCACACTTTCCAGCTCTGACAAATTCGCCACTTAAAAGACATCACAAAAAAAAATGTATGTTGTCACAAAAACGACCCCTTAATGTTTGTTATGATTTCCCAAAGCTTACTTAACATTTCTCACCTGTGTGCTGGATGTATGGGCTCCAGCAGATTGACCCGACCGACTGGACGCCATCATTGCAAAGTAGACAGTACGCTGCGTTCACAGTGCTATGTGGAAATCAGACATATCAGCACTTAAAATGTGGCTGTTGATCTGCAAAATGTGGCATAATTTATCGCTCTTATACCGCAATTGGTGCTCAGTACTGTCTAAAACAGATTTCTAAATGGAAGTTTGTCACTGACATCAATTTTTACACTGTCAGTCACATGAATATGGTGTATATAAGTGTTGAGTCAGAATTTTTTTAGTTCCTACGTTCCCTGAAGGCACTGTCACTCATGATTCCACACCCCTCTCAGTTGATGCCACGCCCCCCACGCCACATCAGGGTCAAAAGTCTGAAACTCAAAAAACAGATTTGAAACTGTAAAAAATAAGATTTGAAACTGTAAAAAATAAGATCTGAATGTGAAAAGATAAAATATGCAACTGAAAAAAAAGACCTCAAATGTTAAAATATATATGGAAGTAAAAAGTGAAAATAAATTATTCATTCAAAATAATTACCAAAGTGAATCAAAATTATATTTAACCTGAAAAAACGTTTCATACACTTATTTTTTATTTTGAATACATTGTTGTATTTTTCAAAATTCAAGATCAACACATGAATTTTCAGTTTCAAATGTTATTTTTTCAAGTACAAAACATTTGATCCTAATGTAGCTCCATAATGGTCCTCCCTGGGCGTCCTTGTTGTGGGTCTGCAGATGGCTTAAGAAGCCAATTCTGGAGCCACAAACTTTCTTGCAGTGTGGATATGGATGTTGGGTGCTGGCGGTGGGATGTGTGGGGGCCTGCTTGGTGGATTTCCTCTCCTTCCTTTGCTGCTGCTTGATTCTGGCAGCCTGTTGGAGGTGATCTTCATGGAAAGTGGCACCTTTATGCAGGCAGTTTCTCCATGCAGATCTTTGACTGGCAGTAGCTTCCCAGGTGAGCTGCTGATGTTGAATTTTTTGATTGGTTCTGATGTTGTCCTTGTAGCGCTTCTTCTGGCCTCCAGGTGCACGTTGACCGGTGGAGAGTTCAGAGTAGAGGACTTGTTTTGGAAAAGCCTGTCCATCTGAGTTGGTGCATTGTGATGGTGGTAGTGATGCGGTCTGTATTTGCGTCCTGTAAGATGCTGGTGTTTGTCCTCTTATCTTCTCAGCTCACACACAGGATCTTCGTAGTCATCTCTGATGGTAGGACTCAAGGGTTCTTAAATGCCTACTATAAGTGGTCCATGCCTCTGCACCATAGAGGAGTGTTGGCAGTATGACTGCTTAGCGGTAACTAGAATCTGGCTCTAAGTGATTTGGTTTCCATCTCCATGTGCTGAAAAGACACATTTTCACTTTTGTTTTCCTCTGAATCCATACCTACACCACTCTACCTTCCATTTCATTTTCATCAGCTTGTCCAGGGCCGGGTTGCGGGGTCAGCAGACCAAGCAAAGCACCTCAGACGTCCCTCTCCTCAGCAACGCTCTCCAGCTCATCCTGGATGACCCCGAGGCGTTCCCAGGCCAGATGAGATATGTAATCCCTCCAGTGTGTTCTGGGTCTGCCCCGGGGCCTCCTACCAGTGGGATGTGCCTGGAACACCTCTAACAGGAGGCACCCAGGAGGATCCTGATCAGATGCCCGAACCACCTCAACTGACTAAGCTCTACTCTGAGTTCCCTTCGAATGTCTGAGCTCCTCACACTATCTCTAAGGCTGAGCCCAGACACCTCACGGAGGAAACTCATTTCAGCCGCTTGTATCTGCGACCTCATTCTTTCGGTCACTACCCAGAGCTCATGACCATAGGTGAGGGTTGGGACATAGATGGATCAGTAAATCAAAAGCTTCACCTTCTGGCTCAGCTCCCTCTTCACCACAACGAACCGGCGCAGCTCCTGCATCACTGCAGAAGCGGCACCCAAGATGCTTGAACTCCTTTGTGGTATGGCCATGGCTACATGCGCAGGTTATTTCCAGGCACTAAAGGTCTCCATAACAAAACTACGTCAATGGATGAAACATTTTGGGTGTAAGGTGAAGAGCTGATATTAAAGGATAAGGCTGGTGATATTCTACATCTTCCGTCAACAAAGCCAACAATGAAGTGTTTCGCTAACACTTTTACCATTATCTGAGCATACTATAGACTGTAAAAGGGGAGGGCCTCCATGGATTTTGAGCCAAGACCTCAACAAGGGCAAGTCTCAAGCCTGTTGTAGATTGGAGGCTCCAGACGTAAAAGCGGATTCAAAGGGGAGAAAAAAAGTGACGGATACATTTTGGGGCCTCCCTAGTGTGGTGGTTAGAGCACTCATGTTCCACGCGGAAGTCCGGGATTCGAATCCTGCCGGGGTCCACGTCAGCAAATGCATGCGGTCGCAAGAGGTTCCCACTGCCGAATCAAACGGGATCAGATTCCTTAAGGAGGCTTCAGGATAAGAAGTAGTAACTCCAGACCTCAACAAGGGTGTGTCTCAAGCCCGTTGTACACGGGAGGTTCCAGACGTAAAAGCGGATTCACTATAGACTCTAAAAGTAATGGACATAGCTACCGTGATGTCACCCATTGGTTTGTGGACTAGTTTAATGCCTCTAATTTGCCATCTTGGCTTTTTCGAGCCAGACGTGACCATATTTGGGCGAGGGGCTGGAGCTGTGGAAGGATGGATCCGTCAAACATCACTGGCAGACACAGGGTCAAAGTGCCCCGCCCTTAATTATGCGTAAATTTAAGCCTAAATAAAAATATAAACAGGTGCGTTTTACAAACATTCACTCCTCATACTGTTGTCATGAATGGGAAATTAGCTACAGAGACCAAAACTGTTTTTTATTATTCATTTCTGCTGTACAGTTGGGCATTTCAACATGGGGGTCTGCGGGGATTGGCTTGCTTCTGGAGCCAGCAAGTTGCCGTTCAAAGAACTGCAGTTTTTGGCACTTCCACATTGGCTTCATTTTTTAGCCCTGCAGGTTGCCACTTGATGCATCCAAAGCCTGACACATATAATTCCTCTGAGCCAAAGTCCTCCATTGTTGTCTAAAATTTATCAACTACTGACAGCAGGGCAACAATTTTGCACTAGGTGAGCTGTTCCTCAGGAAAGAAACAAATATGTTACCAAGGAACATGGGCACAGGTGTGGATTTTTGATGCAGAGAAGGCAGAGATTGATAATTCTGTCTTATAATAGGCAATTTCGCATTTTGGCGAATAAATCACCAATTCCACCTCCAGTCTGACATTGTGTCCACTCAATCAATTTCTGTGGGGAAAGTGGATTCGATTGTCTCTAACCAATCAGTAGAGATCAACATATCCACCTGAATCTAGCGTCATTTCATGTCCACACTGATGCAAAGCCGTGCCGACAAACCCGTTTTTACATGTTTTTTAAAGTGTACCGGAGTGAAGTAACACAAGCTGCAATGTTGGGCATTATTGACAAGACATACTGATTTCAAACACCAATGACAGCAGCATTGGTCTTACTTTTAGTGCAACTCATTGCTGTTCTAGCGCACGACTTGACAACAGCTACACACTGGTGTTAGCTCCATCCGTGATGCCAACTGGCTAAAAGTCCTTCCTTGGCGCTTTTTGGAGATTTTTTTTTTACGTGAACCAAGAAACTGTTTGCCGTTTTGTCACGATGCCAAAGGAGTCATTCAACTGTGGATTCAACGATCTGGACCAAGGCAAAGAATTACATGTTTAACACTCAAAACTTCTCAGGGAGGACACCTACATGCTCCTGTAGATACTCACAAGTGCATCAAATGTGTATTAATCCGCACCTGAAGATAGTCCCTAACAAGCTGTTTAATGGAATGAAAGTTTATTTACTGGATTCCTCTGTCTTGTTGTACAGAAAGAGACGTCGGGTGCATCTGAATCAAATCCTTTTGGATTAGGTACTGCAGCTGCTCTTAAAAAGTGCGTACTGTTGCATGCAGTATGCACACAGTCAGGACACACTGCTGTCTCATAACGTTACACCCTGAACTTTGACCCTCTTGCTTTTATATCCGTTACCTTGAAGATAAACAAACGCCACTATCCAAGTTCCCCAGAGACGCAGATTGACCCGCAGAGCTCTGCTGCTGTTACTTTGTGATGTGTGTAGTTTAACTTTAAAGTTGTAACTGTGCAGATTATAACTAACTCATCAGTTACTTGAATGCACCGTCAACCGTCACTGCAACTTCTGACAGCTGTCAATCAGCAGTCATCTGTTTGCAGCTCAGTTGATGTGAAGATTCGTCCACTGTGCAGAGGATTGTGGGTCAGAAAAGCATGCTGGCTTCCATACTGCAACATCGAACTGGATGTAGTAGAACATCCTGGTATTTTTGGCATACTGCATTTGACATACTATACTCTAATTTATTATTTTTATGTCCTTTTATTTTGTATTTATGTGTGTGAAACAAATAAAATAAATAAATAAAAAACTACAGCATCCAGCTGTTTTAATAAATTATTTAAAAAGGAAAACATACCCATTTCTCCAGGCGTACATATAATGATTTTATGCATTACAGGGTGAAAACACATCTCTGCTATAGTCTTGAATAAAACATACAATATGGCGTACACACACTCACTCAGACACACACACACACACACATGCCCAGACAGTCAGGGTTTACAGCATGTGTCAGCGTGGTTTATGGTTGAGGCATGTTTAATTATTTACTCCAGTCTTTCTCAGGCCACAGCGGTGTCAGTTACCAACACACTAACACACTGCCTCCTCTCCTCCACTCCACGTCCAGTTCAATACGATTAACTCTTCTCACACAGAGGCTCTGCTACGTTTCCTGGATGATTTAAGATCTGCAGACCCTCTCGAGGTTTCACTGACAGTTACACTATTCTGGAAATGAACATGTCGGGGATGAATAGTGATCAGCTGCACCGCTCCACCTTGGGGATTTACTCGGTGAGTAACAGAGACTTTGTGTGGGCTCAAATTAGACAACAAACTTACCCTAGGCAGCGAGGCAGACGGGTGTGAGAGATACCCACATGACAGTCCTGCACCGTGTTGTGATTTCTTCTCCAAAGACACTCTTCAGGAAACTGGGACATTTTCTGGAGAGTACAGAAACATTTCTTGGTTACTGAGGAGTGAAGCTCAGTTTAATTTTTTAATGTAATTTCTGCCGAGCAAACATGATGTGAATTCACAAAGCTAGTTTCTGATTCAAGGAGTATTTCCTTTGCTCCAGTCTTAGGTTTGTCTGTGCTCCGGTGTTGGGAGAGAGAGTTTGTGCTCATAAATACAGATTGCATTAAAGATGGATTTTATTGATTCTCCTTTAGGTGGGTCTTAAAGTTTCTCTGAGTTTCAAAACTGAACAGAAACTGTGGTGTATATATGTATGTGTGTGTGTGTGTGTGTGTGTGTTTGTGTGTGTGTGTGTCCCAAACAGAGCTTGATGGATGACTTCAACCCGAGCCTACAGAAACTGGTTTTACTGGGAAACAGCTACGTCCAAGCCTTCCAGGGTAAGACTGAGAGAAAGAATCTGTTGATGAACTTATTTCACTTTTAGATACACCTGCCTTTACAACTGCTATAAACTAAACAAACTGTAATGGCTTTACATGGACAATGGGAGCTGTCAGTTTCACTAGACCTAATTCCAAAGTCCATATGCTTTGGGAATATCCCAGTGCTGTTACTGTCTTTATTATGGGCCTGTAACCAAGGCCTACAGAGGCTGTTATGACTATATTGTCACTAGACAAACAAAGCGCCATAATGTCTCATTTCCATGTACAGAGATGGATTCAGGATGTCGCCTTGAATTTATTTCCATGGTCTATATGTGACTATGTTTCCTAAAAAGGTCAAGTGTGAAGGATTTAGGGTAATATATTGGCAGAAGTGGAATATAATATAATAAGTATGTGCATATATCTACGTAGGGAGCAGGTCCTCAAGCATGAGAATCACCATGTTGCACCGCAACATTTTTAAATAGCCTAGAATGGACAAACCCTACAACAAGCAGCACTGAAAAAACTCTGATTTCTTAATGTGAATTAATTCAGTGTTTTTACCAGTTTAAATCATCGGATCCATTTGTTTTGGAGAGGAAGACACCTCTGAGAATAATTTGGCTCCCAGCAAAACCTTAACAATGAACACTGAAGGAGCTCTAACCTGGAGAAGTTTCAGCTGGCTGCAATCTGCAATTCTCACCACTAGATGCCACTAAATCCCCCTAAATCTTAGACACTGCTCCTTTAACACTATGCGCCTGAACAACACATAGTGAGTCCAAATTCACACCTTTTCTTCTCCGTGGTTTTTCTCTGCAACCGTGCGTCATAGGGAGAAGCCACGCATATCACGTGAAACAGCGGGACCATAGCTTTCCGACATCAAGCACTTGTCGGTAGTCGAAAAAAAATGATAAAGTTACACTAAAATTATGCATGGAAAGCTTTCATACAGCTCTGCACACACATTACTCTTGGATGGATTACTCGCGAATGCAGCATCACACAGAAATGCCACACATATCACATGGAAGCTCAGAACCAGAGCTTTCCAATGATACCACACACATCATTGTGCTGTCATCCCATCATGCTGTAAATCCAGATTAATTGTCTACAAAATAAAAACCTGAAGAATTTCTTTACAATCCATTATACAGATCTTGTTATCAGTCACTTCATATAGTGAGAAATGATATTATTACTATTTTTCTATGATCTTAGATGTAAATATTGCATGTTTCTTTCAGATAAAACACATTTTTGACTTGTGAATGAGTCAATGGAATTTCTTGCAATAATGAAAAAATCCTGGCAATCATGTCCGCCTGGCACAAACCACATGTTTTGGACAGCTGTGAAGTGACAGAATGTCCCAACATCATGATTCTTATATTGCCAGATTCCAGAGAGTCTCCCCTCTTCATATATGGCAGAATGTCATTTTCCAACTTGCTATGCTGAGATACATGTCAAAATGTAAGAATTTAGTCACACAGATTTGTTTTTTTCATTGATATAAAAATTAATATAAAATACAGGCACATAGAAGGACATGGAATGATGGCAAATCTGGATAGCCCAGATTCTCCTGAAAAAACAAAACAAGATATAGCATGTGTATGTAGCCTTTATAATGACTGTGATATAAGCTTAAAAGTAAAGGCAGTAAAAATACCCTAAAAGGCCTAGGGCCCATAGGGTTAAAAGGGCACTTTGCTGATTTTCAACCAGCTTTTAAACCAAAAAGGTTCCACCAATATGACTACCCTACGAGGCGGAAAACTGGGCACCTAGGATCAACGTGTCTAAAAGTTCGCAGCTTGCCGGCAAAACGGCCCAACATTTGCCGAAAATCTGGCAGTGTAAAAGGGGCTTAAGATTGTTTTGTGCCAGCCGGCTGCCATTGTTTCAAAAAGACGTGTTTGCGTTATGTGCATCTCCCACCAGATGGTGGTCCGGTGCGGCGCAGTGCATTCTGATAGTTGTAGGTTTTCTCCCTTTTGAGCAAAAGTGTCTTTTTTTACTGGTTCTGTCACACAAAGTTAAAACATTTTGTGTCTTTCTACTGCATAAACATCCTGGTTTAATAAATAGCCATCTCTCCAGCAGTTAAACAAATCCTATGAGGAAGAGAAGACGTCGGGATTAAACTTTTAATTTGAATCTGAATGCACACTAACTGCGTCTATATTTTATGTCTTAATTATCCACATCATAATCACCTCTAATCCCTCTGCAGTGCATTCAATGAGAGAGGCCTTTGAAATGCTGACATGTAAATGAAATTCAACTGCAGAAGCAGTTTTGCATGATGATGCTTTTACGTGTTATATTACATTAAAGGTGTTTGTTTAATATATGCAGGAGCAGTAACACTACATCATCAGCAACTGATTCATAGCAGCAGCACTGCGCCAAAAGCCCTGCAGACATAAAATAAAGATTATTAGGTCTCCTGTGCCACCTGCACAGAGGCTTAAGTCCTCTCCATGTGTTCAAGGGGGAGCAGTAATGAACTCAAGCCAAGGCCAAGAACGGATGCATCAGTCAGTCAAAAGAAAAGTAACTGCCAACTATTTTGATAATTCAAGAATTGTTTGTGGTTTTGCAAGCAAAAATGTCAAACATTTGCTGGTTCTAGCTTCTTAAATGTGAGAATTTGCTGCTCTTTTTTGTCATTTATGATGGCAACTGAAGAGACTTTGACTTTTGGACTGTTGGTTGGACAAATTAAGCAATTCAAAGATGTTGCTTTGGGCTCTGGGAAATTGTAATGAGCACGTTTTTCACAATTTTTTTTTTTTACATTTTATAGACTAAGTGATTAGAATAGCTGCAGCCCTGCCTTGGAAATCAAAAACTAATCTTTAGACTGTGCCTATCCATTGTTATCACAGCACTATCACAAAGGTTTTCACTACTGAATCCATTAGCCTCACAGCCTCGGGGAGTGTGTGTTTGAATGGTTAGTGCTGGTTGTAGCCCCATCTGTCTCACCTGCTGAAAATCCAGCTAACGCTCACTCACGTCTGTCTAAAAGATCAGAACACCTCTGCTCGGGGATCTAACGCTGTGCTCAAGTTACTGAGGCAACACCAGACTGAAGATTTGACCCTGTTTGACTAAATACTGCTCTACACAGATAGCTGTGACGAGAGAAAGGCTGAGGTTAAGAAAAAGGGGGAAAAGGGGGAATTTTTTTGAAGTGGGGTTGTATGACATAATTATCTATAATCTGTGTATTACGTACAGTAGATGGCAGCGGCACACCCCCAGTTTGGAGAGGCAGGAATGAATACAGCTACAGAAGCTAGAAATGAACCACTGTGGACAGGCGGCAGCAAAATGTTTTTAAAGAAAACTCCCGTCTGAAGAAAAACAATAGCAGTTTTAAGTGTACACTATATTGAGAATATTTTCACTGCTTTCCTCTGGTGCAGACAGCTATACCTGCTCAGTTAGCTTAGGGCCTTAGTTTGCTTCTGTCATTTTGTGACTTTGGTGAATCTGAATAAACCCATGTGAATACCAAAGACACACTGTAACACAAACAAACTAACCAGTCAAGGCAGAGATAGACCAGCAGCTGTGTTCATTCATTCATTCATTTTTTGTAACTACTTTCCTGTTGGGGGTCGCAGGGGGGGCTGTAGCCTATCCAAGCTAGGCAAAAAGGGGGGTTTACCCTGGACAGGTCACCAGACTATCAGGGCAGGAAAGCTCAATCAGTCTTTTTTCAGCATTGGCAGTATAAAAACAAAATCAGGGAGTGCAGCAAAATGCCGCCTACCTACTTTTGTTTATACAGAATGCGCCTTTTTCGGGGCAATGGGGGGCGTGAGCAAGTAACAAAACGTGTAGCTCAGCGTGTGACGTCAACAGTGACGTGGGAGGGAAGCTGCGGCTGGTCAGTCCTTCGGCGATTCTCTCGTAAGTCGGCCCGTTCTTCACCGTCCCCGTCATCTGACGGTTAATGGCCTCTTCGTTTGCGAGGACAAGGAGGGCGCGCAATTCCTTGTCTCCCCAGTTGCTCATCTTTACAGTGTCTGTCAGGTTTGTGTTTCCCTCTTGCTACTAGCTGCTCATTCCTGCTATCGTCATCAACAGCCCCTCCTGTTGTGGAAGGGCACATCGTTCTTTTTAAACCAAAAAGTGTTCCGCCAATATGTCTACCCTACGAGGCGGAAAATTGGGCACCTCGGATCAACTCGCCAATCCGGCTCTGTGTGTCTAAACGCTCGCAGCTTGCCGGCAAAATGACCGCGGAAAATCTGGCAGTGTAAAAGGGGCTATAGAGACAGACAACCATTCACACTCACATTCACACCTACGGGCAATTTAGAGTCACCAGTTAACCTGCATGTCTTTGGACTGTGGGAGGAAGCTGGAGCACCTGGAAGAAACCCCGCCCCCCACCCTCTTGCTGTGAGGTGACAGTGCTAACCACTGCACCACTGCACCACCGTCTGTGTTCAGCAGTGTTAAATTACTGCTTTTCTTCATGTAGTTCGGCTTTGTAGAAAGTGATACAACAGCTTCAGACTCCCACTGGATATCGCCGTCTCACAGCAGGGTAAAGTGGTGAAAATATACTAAACACAGCACACACTAAAACTGATACTGATTGGTCGCAGTGATAGCAAAGAGAGTGAAGAGGGACTTTGGGGTTATTGCTGATAAAGAAAACTGAGGCTAATAAACAGCATAAAATCACAGTGACGTATTTCTGAAAAGGTCTGGGGTGATTCATTGATTCGTCGATTTGCATAAAGTAATCTGCGTCCTGTGAAAGCATGAATTCCTCCGGACGACAAGCTGCAGCTGAAAAATGTCGCCCACAAATTGGGAATGCCGCATCACAGCAGTATAACTGCTGCATGAAGAGATTTGTCAAGAGACCACCTGTTTACTTTCTGTCCTCACCCGAGTCATTCTGCACAGCTGCTGACATAACGTTAAGCAATGCATCATCAAGACTGTTATTGGGCCTTTTTAAATATCCAGTTACTTTAACAGCACTGCACAAGTGAGACAATGGTTTAAACGAACACTACAGACTGTCGTTACAGTCTGTATATTGTTTAAGTAATTTTCTTGAATTTTCTTCCTTCTTGATTGATTCATGTGTCACAGCAGTTCTTTTGAATTTGAGGTCCAATAAATGTTTCTGATCAGGCATCAGACGAAAAACGGTCTGTAATTATTTTATTATTATTATTATTATTATCATTATCATTACTGTATTTTATTTTTTTTATTCTTATTGTTTTCAAAACAGCAGTGATGTGGAAATTAGACTGATTTGAAATATGTCATAATCGTTACTGTATTTGAGAGAAAATTATTAAATAAAATATTTAAATATTAATGTGACAATTTTCTGTAGATTAATTGTTATATTGAGTAATAAAATAAAAGTCAAAAAATAAAATTAAGTGTAATCAGTAAATTAGTCATTAGATTAATCGACTAATCAAAAAGTCATTATTAGATTAATCAATAGGAAATAAATCATTAGGTGCATCCCTGTTTCTGAATACTGCAGAGATATTTGTGTGTATGCAAATTTGAATTATCAAATTATTTCCTTTATTGTAATTAATGGTTTTGTTTACCTTCTCTTGTCGTTCTGTGCCAGGGAAATTAATTTTGCCAATTAAATTTGCATTTCCAACGACTGTTGTGTTTGTGTGTTTCAGCTCTGGCTGTAACGAGTGAGGCCTACTTCAGTGCACTTTCACAGATTGGAGAGAAGGCTCTGCACACCATTTCCTCACACTCCTTAGGTAGGTGTGAACACACGTTCACGGGCAGATGGCATGTGCAATCCAATGATCACTGAGTGGAAACACAAAGAGGGTATTTCTGTAGCTACAATCCAGGAAGTGAGCACTTTGTCTTTGATGTGTTTATGGCCATTTATTAAACTAATCAAACAGTGTTCCTCTGTGCCATGGAGACCAAAGTTTACCCTGTGGCTGTGCTTTGTTACTCCTTTCACTATTACTAAGCACCAGTGCATGTGTAGTGTGTGTGTGTGTGTGTGTGTGTGTGTGTGTGTGTGTGATTAGCACACTCTTTGATGTGTAAGTGCCGGAAACATACAGCGATAAGTTATTGAATTTATGGATTGTACAGTATCTACAACAGTCAGTGCTTTCAAAGACCCAAGGAAAAACAGGGCAGAAGTCTCTTATTAGATTTATGACAACAGTTCAAAGTTAGATTGCAACACAGAGACTGTTTTTTCTGTGAGTTCCAGCCAAGAAGTGTTGGCAGAGTAGGTATCAGATGCCAGCAGGCACCATGAATAATAGACGATGACAGGCAGCCGGCCCTGCTCTGCTCACTTAACCCAGCCACTCTAAAGGGGAGTCATGTTAGGTTTAGTGGCTGGAGCTGAAGATAATGTCCACACTGGATTAGAAGTCTACTCTTACTGTTAGTTTCTTCAGTGAGCGGATGGATCCCAGCATGCATTTCAGGGACAGCGACAAGTCAGACTAAACAAAGCTCAACAGATATTCTTCAGAATGTGATGCTACGACATGTTAAAACCTGAGATTTAAACAGCTTTGGAGATGGTTTCAAGCTTTTATCACGTCCCTCTCCTGCCCCACACTAAGTATAGGCCTACGTCTGAGCAGGGATCGACCGATATGGTTCTCTCAGAGCCAATGCCGATACTGATTATTATGAAACAGAGAAACCAATAGCCGATATTTACAACAGATATATGTCTGCTGTAAAAATCATAGCTGACACAGAATTAACAGTAATTAAGTAACTAACAGTGACGAAGTTGAAGAATATGCCAGCTAAATAAAAACAGATAAATGAAAATAAATGAATAAATATATAATAATCATAAATACAAAATTTAAAAAATAAAATTAAAAACAATAAATAAAATAAAATAAAATAAAGGAGAGCTCAGTTAAAAGCCAGGCTAAAAAGGTAGGTCTTGAGTTTACTTTTAATAGCCTAGAGTGGTACGTGCAGTCAGTGAGAAGCACGCCAGGGGTAAAACAGCGCAGCTAAGGAAAACAAAACTGTATATTGGTATATCGGTGGAAAAAAATCACAGATACTGATAGCCCTAAAAATTCATAATATTGGCCCAATAATTGGCCAGGCTGATTATCTGTACATCTGATACATGTACATCTGAGCACAATATCAATAAAGTTTGAAGTCAGCAGTTGGCCATCAAAAGGTACTTAGAGGTTCGTTCACAATGATGCCGGTATAATTTTTGATATCATATTCAAAAATTCACATTATGAGACTCACAATATTTCGACTTGTTGACATGTTGACGTCATACTGTTACCCACGGCGACCTTAAGCATGGCTGAAAGCGAAATTATTACTGACTCCGTGGAGCAGCAGCCCTGGACTTCTTCGCTCAGAGGGAACTCATTCAGTGTCTCTCCCTCTCCTCTCTCACCGTGCGCACACTGGAGTCGATGTCGTCAAGTGATTTTGTCATAAACCTTTGGTAATGTAAACCTACGTGACACATGCGGCTCGACAGAAACCTCCATAAATGTGACTGTGTGATAGTTGTGGTATCATAACAGCCTGTCACAGGTTACAATGTGATGTGATTTATACATATAGATCTCAGGGGACATTTTTTTGTATTTGGGAGCTGTTTAAATGTGTAATTTGTTGAACTATTAATATTGTATACAGAACCTGAATCTCACTCTGAGTCACTGTTGTTGTTCACAAACTAAAGAAATGAGATCATTTTTCTTTAGATTTTATTGAATATTTGAAGCAAACTGTAAAACTAGATCACTGATTTCATAATAATTTTTTAAACTGATTTGTCATATCTTCAAGAATATCGTTATCGCAAAAATACCCTGAAATATGGTGATATTATTTTAGAGTCATATCAACGCCCCAAATATAAATCAAGATTATGTTGCTGTCCTGTCTTTGTCTCGCCTAATATGTTTTTATAAATATATTTTAGTGTTGTGTTTAGCTGTAATATTGAGGGTTTGTTAACCAGACATTTGCACCACAGTTTCCTGCACAGTGAAAACATGTACAAAATAAAAAACACAAACGGAATAAAACTGAGCTCAAGCAGTAAAACTAAGCAGCGCTGATCAAATATAAACCAAGATTCTGCCGGTGAGTTGTCCATTTCGTGCCTCAGATATTTTAAGAAACATGTTTTAGCTCACTGTTGAACTGTAATACAAGACTGTTTGTTACCAGCCGGCCGCCATTGTTTCAAACAGATTTCTGTGTGTGTGTTTGTTTTGTACTCAGAGGTTGGAAGTGGGAATGACGTCACCTCAGAGTTGACAACAGTTTTTGCATTCTAGTTGACAACGGTGGACAAGTCAGCAAAAAACATGGACACTATAAGCAGTACTTTAGCAGAGTGTTTACTCACTATGTATGTGACTGGCAGCCATCTTGAATTCGTAAGTTTGGGTTGATGCGGTTGCTGCGAGTTTCCGAGTTGGAAATCCGATCTCAGGGTGCGTTCCAGTTTAAACTTCCTACTGGGAACTGGGAATTTCTGACCTCCGAGTACAAAACGAAGGCACCAATACTGGTCTGGTGCAGCGCAGTGCATTCTGGTAGTTGTAGGTTTTCTCCATCTTGAGCAAAAGCATCCGTTTTCTGTTTTTTTTCTGGTCATGTAGCACCAATTTCAAAACTATTTGTGTATCTCTACTGCATAGACATCATAGTTTTATCAAGAAGTCATCTTTTAGCAATAAAATACTTCTTTAACCCTTTGAAACCTGGAGACATCACTTTTCTTGTGCTGCTCTCAGACACCTTTTGCAAATATTGAAACCTCTGAGCCCTGAGCGAATTGGTGTGACTTCTTTTGAAAACATAAGAAAAAAGGCAATGAGTAAGTTGGTAAGAAATGTCCCACAAACTGCAAAAAATTAATAGATTTAGAAAATTATTTAAGAAAAAAAAAACAAAAGGGAAAAATGTGGAAAAAATATATTTATAATTACTATTAATGCATTTTAAAATCATGTTACAGATTTTTTAAAGTAATTTTTAAGCATTTTTCCAGGTAAATTCTTTGTTTTTAACTTTACTTTTTTTGTTCTGAATTTTATCTTTTGACCAATTTCTTGCACATTTTTTGGCTCATTGCCTTCTTCTCATGTTTTTGACAGAAATCAAGCCAATGGTTAACTGGCGGCTATTGTGGAAATATCAAAACACTATTTGGCAACTAATTCAATAATATTGATTGCAAATCTGCAAAAAAGTACGATCCCTTTAGACTAACTTGATAAAACTGGGATTCACTTAATCTTCATCATTGTCTTCTAAGCACAGCAGGAGTCTTCTTCTGCCAATGTGTTGACATATTTCATAAATAGATTCATCATAAATTACACACACTGCTTCACCTGAGGACAGTTATCACAAACATCTACTGTCTACATGTCGAGGATTAAATTACATAACAGAGCCGCGGGCTTATTTGCATTGTGTTCCTCTCGGGGGGGAGCGAGATGCCTGTCTTTGCAAGACTGACAGGCACAAATAAAATGGACGACACTGTATTAGTTTCTACAAGGGTTTTTTTGCCTGTTGAACTTTTAAATCTAAAAAGAACAGAATCTGTTGGGCTGCGTCTGAAGTGATTAAAGTAGTTGGAAAGACACCACTGGAAATGAACGACTCTTTTATTGACAGGAAGCACACTAGGTTGTAAAAAATGTGCTGAATCAAGATGGTTACGTGGAGTTAGCTTTAACACAACCCTGACTGACTTGTTTTGGGCAGTGTGGAGTTTACTTTTATGTTCTGTGGTGTACTGTTAAACCAGGAGGTGCCAGCGTAGTAAAAAGGACATTGAACTAATGCTCTGGCTAACATCTGCAGCACTGATCCATCCAGTACTCTGATTCTCTTGCCAAGAATTTAGTCTTTTGGCAGATTTTAATGAGGGCTTTCATCACCATGGCCTCCCCTGGTAAATGTTAATCTAACATTGGTTTCACACATTTCTCACAGCCTTTTAAAAAACAATTAACCCAGATCTTAAGGAGAACCCAAAACTCTAAGGGATTAACTGCAGGAAAACAAATAGTCACAGGTAACAGAATGACATGCATATGAAAGCTCTGACGCACCTGTGTGAAACACCTTTGCACTTTGCAATCAGTCCTTATCAATCTATGAAATACGCCTCCTTTGTGTTGCTATTTGATCAAGGAGGCCAACGGAACATTAAAATGAATAAATTATGTGACAAAATTAACGAAGAAACTTTCATATAATTAGTTTTTATTTCTACAGTCGGCCTATAGTTTGCTGCAGAGATGACGTTTTACTGTAGGACGACATGCAAGTTCACATCGCTCTGGTTCCCCTGTCAGAAAGCCAATGGGATTTTTCTGCTGGATTCAATCGAACTCAAGTTCATTTGCCCCCTCAGTGCAGTTCGTTTGGGCAGGTGTGAACACAGCAATCACACTCAGGTGTGCACCAAAAAAACCGGACAGAGACCTTCTTGAAGAGGTGGTCTCAGTCAGGTTACAAATGAACTCTGGTGCAGTTGGTTTGTGGTGAGAAGGTGTTCCGACCTGGATCTGAACCAACTGCAGTCACATGACACATTGTTTGGGTTAAACATGAGCATGTTACAGTCCTGGAGGATTATTAATGTGCACCTCCTCCTGTACTGCCTTAATATGCACATTCAGCACATCCAATGCATCAAAACATTGTTTTCTAGTTGGAGCCGCGCCTCGTTTTCAAACTG